TTTATATTAATTAACCAATAAATTTTAGCCGCTGCAATAGTGGAGAACCGAAGCAAAAAGAGTGCACTCAGTTGTTTTCAGTAAGTTTCTCCATTAATTTCCAAAGTGCTAAAGTTGAAAATAAATCAAGTCATATTAGGAACTATAAAATTTGAATATGACAAAACAAAACAAAAAAGTAAACAAACAATCCCAACCACAGTAAGAAAAAAAATTTTTTTCTTAAAAACATTTGAGTCAACAACTATAAACTATAGTTTATGAAAATTGATTGACCGTCTAAATGATTACTTTTATGCTAGATAACTGTCAAAATATTGCTACCATTCAGTTAATTAAACCCCTCTATTCTATTTCATCAATTAATTATCAAATAATAGTTGCATAAATCTTTCAAACCATTCTGTCAACCCTTTATAAAACAACTAGAACTTTACAGAAGATATATTTTAATGTACCATGTATTACGTGAAGGAGATCACTTCTTTACAATAAATTGTAATAAGTGAAAAAAAGCAATATTAAAGGCAAAAAAAGCGACTTATGTCAAGTATGATTTTAGAGCGGCAACGAGCCATTATCAACTAGCTTATTTCCTTCTTATTTCAATAGAGGTAATTAGTATTAATAGCAACATACTTTAACAGGCAACCAATCAAGTCTCAATTTTTCCCTTGAGTTCAATGCTAGAAAAAAAACAATCACAGTTTTTGCTTAGTCGCCTTTTTTTTCATATCCCTTCATTCCACTAAACAAAGGCAGTCAATGACATCAGCGAAAGCACTGCTGCTGCTTAAATCGAGCAATATAACGTTTCTTTGCTTCAGGAAAGTTTGTAGAACGGTCATTGTATAGATTCAGGTTTCGATGTGCCGTTACCTGACCAACAGAAAAAAATTTGTGATCAAAATGTACTAAACGATTGTCAAGCGGACAGTCCTCAACGATGCCGATCGCATGCTGCTTGTTATTACCTTCTCAATACTTTTTATTTACACAATCGTCTTAATAGCATTCTTTATGGGTTGGTGTGCATTAATACCGACAATGTGCCATCCGCGTAAAGAGATCCCTTTTTGCTCTATAAAGTCGCCAAGACGTAACACTCTCTACCGCGATATAGAACGAAATTCTAGCTTGTAAGTAAAAAACGGAAAAGAGATTGTTTTTTGATAATCACATTTTTTATATTTGTGACCTCATTCAAAATTGCTGATATATTGAAACAGAAAACTCGGAGAAGCACTTACCCATAACAGAAGAAAAAAAGGTTTCCTTTGAAGAGCATCCTTGGAGAATCTTCGTCGAACCTCCGGAACGGATGAGGAGTCCGCAAACATAAATGAGCCACCAATAAACGAAAGTCTACATCCTAAATATTCACTTCCATTTTTTGAAATCAGCGTTGCTGGACAAAAGGTTTGTTTTACGTAACAAAGGATTTGCAGATAAAATAAGCAATGTTTCTTCTACTCAAAAAAGTACAAAAAACTAATTTAATCCATTAAGCTTTGTTTGATAACAATTTACAAACTGATTCTCTAATGAGCAATAAGCATCGCTGAACGTCAGAAAACTTTAAACAACAAAATCCGTCTACCCGGTCATGGCAGAAAATTTTTAATTGAACAGTAAAGCCCATCTTTCCAGCACTATACAATAAACTATATCATTTATATCTACCAGATGCAGTTCTCGTCCTAAACGAACAAATTAAACCATTCACTTTTACTTAAAAAAACATTATAATAACTTTGAATACAAAATTTCACTCCGTTTTAAATTAAATCTTTAAAAAAAACACATTTACTTGCAATTTAGTTCATTTAGGAATATTTCG